ACAGAAGGTGATGAAGGGCTCGAACCTGAAGATCCAACTAAATGTAACATATTATCATTATCTGCAGCACAATTTTGCGTATCTGTTTGCTGTAAAACTTTCATACTAAATAATTTTTTAAAAGCGCGAATAAACTGTTGTTACGTCCGGGAGGATTCCACGATTTCCTCGTTTCGAGATTGCTTAATAGGGTGATCGTTGAGACGAGATGTAAGAGAAAATGCGAGAGTTAACGGTCACCGATCGGCGAGCGTGACAATATGTAGAAAATATGTCGTTGAAAGCCTTCCCAACGATTTTGGAAAAGTAATAAAAACATAGATATCCAGGATCACCCGATCCGCAGTAATAAAATTTATGACAAATTACAACCCATGTCGAAAATGTTCGTTTTGAAACTCGTTCAGTTTAAATAAGTAATATCTAAAAACAGATCGGGAGTCCTGGGTAAATAGAAAGTAGCATTCCCAAACGCATGTAACGTGTTGAAGGGCGTCTTTTCGTTAACAACAGGAAGTAGTAGAATAGAAATAGCTTGACAAGAATAAATTTTAATTTTTGCCGACGATCATAAAATCCTGAAGAAATACTGTCTAGACGAGGAGACGCACGTTCAAGTACCTAATAAAAGAGAAATCGGAAATAAGAAAAAAGGAGGAATGCGAGTTTTCAAATTGTCATGATCAGGTCGTTCGGAAGGTACGATGAGTGAAATACCCCTTCTCTTCAGAGAGAATACCAAAAACTCGCCAATGGGTGACCGTGAATCTGCAAATCTAGAAAAGGTGATGACGTATCACCAATAAGTTCTCAGAGGATTGAAACTTGCAGTGCGGGCGGAGCAAATTTTGAAAGTAGTTACCAGTGGGAATATGAAACACAAATTTCCTACAACAGTAGAAAAATCCCTCCGACTCGAATCCTCGATTTTTCCCACTCAACATGTCTCATCAGAGAACCACCCTCTGAAACTCTCTATATAAACCGTGACACTGCGAGACTCGCTCTCTTCATTTTTGATCCTGCTCTGTGTTCGGTTTTAAAACAGTCAGTCATGCTCTCGCAGTTCATTTCGCTAAGATAAGAGTTTGTTCAGTGCATAACAGAAGATCTTCCCCATTACATCAAGTACGAGTTGTCTGCGAGCTACTCCAAGTCCAGGAGACTAACCAGAGAACTAAAG